CAGCCTTCCAGTATCTGAAGGGGGCCTATAGGGATGCTGGGGAGGGACTCTTCATTAGGGACTGTAGTGATAGCACAAGGGGTAATGGGTTAAAACTTAAACAGGGGAAGTTTAGATTGGATATAAGGAGGAAATTCTTTCCTGTTAGGGTGGTGAGTCACTGGAATGGGTTGCCCAAGGAGGCTGTGAATGCTCCATCCCTGGCGGTGTTCAAAGCCAGGTTGGATGAAGCCTTGGGTAACATGGTTTAGAGCGAGGTGTCCCTGCCCATGGCAGGAGGGTTGGAACTTGATGATCTTAAGGTCCTTTCCAACGCTAACTATTCTATGAGTCTGTGATTTGCAAGTTTGCCTCTCTCTCAAAGTAATGTTCGTGGGGAGTCATGAAAGGTCTGGGACTGCTGATGTCAAACAGCAGAAAGAAAAGCTTGAATACTCAGTTCCTGATATTATCTACAGTCATGTGTGAATGCAGTTATGGGATTTCATCTACTACCATGTGGCTCACATTCATTTTACTATATTCATCTGTATACAGACTTCTCTACATAGGCACCTTTCTAGCAATTGAACAAGTTCTGAGCTATATGTTTTTAAATCTTGATGACAGAACATAAGACAAAATATACTAAGCATGATGTCAGCGTTTTCCTCAAAGAGATTTTGTATGCCATCAATAATTTAACATGTCAACTGGCTACCCCTACCTGTTCCGAAAGCCAAGACGTTTACTAAAATGTAGAAGAACACTGTGTGACTGCTTCCTATCCCAGATAGTAAGGAGGAGGTACACTCCCCACCTTGGAGATCAAGAAGAGGTAGCACAACTTTTTCACCAGCATTCTTCCAAGACCAAGTCAATTTTCTAGCAGAAATCAAGGTCACATCCAAAGCATAGTTAGAAAAGGGTTAAGCTTCTCAAACAAGGCAATTAATATGGAAATGGTTACACAACCTTCATGGGCTCCTCTAATTCCCTGTTAGGACTAAACAGACGTATTTGTAACATACCCTAACAAAAACAAAACCCCTATGAATAAGCAACACATTTTTCAGAAGCAAATCTCTTCCCATTTTATCTCCTGGTACAAAAGTATGCTGGCCTCAATTTTTTCCATCACCTACTTCAATGCCCCCCGTCTCCTTCCCCTCACCCATGCCCCTTCTTTTCCGAACAAAATGAGCCTGTCCCTGTGTCTATCCTCTGGAACAGGATTAAAGTTTCACACTGAGCCTGTTGCCTGGGGTTCACAGCAGCAGATGATCCATTTGAAAGCTGTTCATTCAGCTTCTGCTCTCGGCAAGACAAATTTGCTATGGAGTTTTCTTCACCCCACCATCTCCTTTAGCTTACAGGTAGAATAAAGCTGGAGGAAAACTTTCCTCAGCACTCCATATAGCTCCCAGCAAGTAACTTTTCTAGAGTACTTAGTAAAAGCACCCTTTTCAAAACATGTCCTATGTTGACATCACATTTCTTGAATTCTTCAGATCTTTTTGTTTGAAAATAGGAAACAAAAACATAAATACACATATACACACACTCATCCACCACTGTTTAAAAGAGCAATAGTAAACTGGAATCTGTCTCTTACCAAGCATTTTAATAGGTCCGCTGCTTTTTAAAAAACAATTTAAAGAGCTTTTCCTATTGCTTTTTGCTATGATCACTTGCTCTGCAGATTTTCAACTCCAGTATTAAACTGGTACTGAAAGACTGGCGTAGATTCTCTTCCAACATGAAGCACAACAGCCACACAGCAATAAGCAAAAGCAGAACCAATTCAATGGTAAGCATCAGGTTCATTTAATTCATTTAATAGCAATTTCTGCTGGAAGCTATGTCGTGTCACATACACCAGATCCAGAAGATTGTTTCAAAACAGCATCTCTTTTGCCTGCATTTTAGTAACCCACACAGTAACCCACAAGTCTTCTTTTGATAGCACTTGGCTTTAAGTAGAGATGTTTTATCATGGAGGCCAGCCGCATGCATGAGTTGTGCCTCTGCAGCAGGTAACACAAGTCTTGCCCCAGAACAATTACTTTGGAAGAAAAACCCAAATAGAAAATAAAAATTTGGAAAATGAAAGTGTAAGCAAGAGAAGAGCAAGAACATGTAACATGATTCACAACCGTCTCTGTCTGAGTGGTTTGATCAAAACCAGTATGTGATGGGAAAGCCTCCAGGGACCTGCTGCCCCTCAGAAAGACCAGCACACTCCAATTTCGCTCTCTAGTCCCCCAAGCAAGAACTGGGGAGCCTGCAGGTGTTAAGTTCCTTAAAGGACAGATACTGGTAAAACCAGAGGTCCTTCTACCAGCTGAGCTACAGGTCCATTGCTTTGCATTCAGGCATTAAATAGTGTCACTGCACCTTTGCAAGACAAAGAACTCCTTCCTTGCTCAGAGCTGGGTGCTTGTCACTTTCTATCTTTGATCAACTGGAAAAAAGGTCAGTTAGATATAAATAATCACCCTTGCAAATGCCTTCTCTAAAATACTGGCCATAGCTGCTCATTGGTCTTGTAAGAGCCACCTTAAGCTTTAATTTCTGAGATTTCCTGCTTTGAAGATCATTATGACAACCCTGGAGTGCTTATTTTACCATGCAGGATCCTACTTTCTGAGGCCAGGCCGAGTTAAAGATCAGGCCATTGCTTCATCAGGAATTACAAGGTTTGCTCTGCCCCATCCCTTCCAGTTGCCAGCCTTCACAAATGGTCCATTCATGCCCATGTTCCCCAGGTTTCCCTTATGCCGTCAGCTCCTCTCTGCCTGGGACTATTGCAGACAGGGAGCCCAACTGGTGCCTGTCTCCTCCTCCCTGGGTACCGCTAGTGGGAATGTACCCCTTCCCAGAGGCAGGGATGGGGAGACAGGGTCTTCCTACAGGCGCCCTCCCACAGCTCACCTTTATGTTTGTATGGCAGGCCTGCTCTCAACTGAGATGCCATCTCAGGGCTTTCCAACTGCTGCAGCTCATCGTGTCCAGGATGACATACCAACAGTAACACATACGCACTGGCAAAGGCAACACTTGTTCCAACAGCCAGAAGCCCTCCAAAGGGCTCTTTCTCCACAGTCTCTTGCCTATAGAAGGGCTAATCCTCCAACAGCTCACTGCCAGCAATGCTTAAGAAATCCTTTGCTCACAGATACTCCCACAAGGGTGGCTGCCACACTGGACCCTGGCTCTGCTGTCACCTCTGCCACAGCCTGAGGAAGAAGGAAGAGAGCCATGCCTTCAGCACCTTGAGACAATATGCAAAGATGGGGTTTAAAGGCCCTCAAGCTCCACTTCTACCCTACTCTGAGTTTTCAGCAAGACTGACAAGCCTCATGCTGGTCCACAGCAGTCATCCTCACCTGAAGCACGTCAGGTCAGTTCAGAGGGTACTTTTTCTTCCCAGCCACATTTGACAGAAGAGCTCAACTTTACCGTTAACTCCGCTTCCTTGATTTGCTTATGTGGCACTCAATTTAAACCTGCAGTATTTTGCTTACATCAAGCAGTCTTAGAAAGTCAAACACATTGGGCTAAGGCACAAAAGTGAAATCAGAAGCAAACAACTCAGTGTTGTTTAACATGCATGAAGCTAAAGAAGGTGGTAGTGGACTTTCTATGCAGGGAGATGCTAACTGAGCAGCTGCAGAGACTGAATTCCCCCAGAGCCCAGACAACACAATTCCGATTGCATCCAACTAACCTTCCCAAGCTTGCCCTCTGCAATTGAAATACACACTACAGCAAACATGGCTACTGATTTGACCACTGGCTTTCCACTGAGACCACCAGCAAGAAAGCAAATGGGTGTTATGGGTTTTGGTACACTGCTATTGGTACAGCACAGATAAGAGAGAGGAAGGAGAATAATTCAGACTGCAGCCTACCCTTGAGTGTTACGCAAGGAGAGAAGTACACAATGAGCTTTTCCCACAGCAACTGTTCCAGCTATGATTGCAAAACCTCACTCTTCACAAGGTCTCCCAGGGTCACTAGTCACTTCAAAACCAGCAGGAAGGTGGCGTGGCAAGGATCCAAACATATTGCCATAGCTTGCTGGCTTGCAGAGCTAGTTGCCTGGGGAAAGCCAGCGTGCTGCAGCCACCACTCCCAGAACTATCTGAATTTACAGACTGGAAGGCCATGAGGGTCCATGGCTGGCTGCATCTATCTTGGATCACTGGTGGGCATCAGTACGGGTTCAACTCCCTGTGTCATGTGGCTCATGCTGGTTTCAGGACTAGTGCTCAAGCACATGCTTCTTTCATGCACATCCTTCTCTCCCCATTTCTTCCCAAACCTGAGTTTTGCCACCTGGCAAAAAAATGGCTCACTCCAGACTCAAGCCAAAGTGTGACCCAACATAGATGGACAATATGCCTCTGCTAACTGTAGTCTTCTAAAAGCCATGTGTCTTGTCTCAGCTAGAGACCTTATTTCCATCCACATAGAGATAAGCACTTCCAGAGGGTCTTTCAGTCACATTAACACAGTGATCTAGTCAAGAAGAATCATCTCTGTGCAGGCACCCCTTTCCTTCCATTGACTAAGAAGGAAATTCTGTCAAATTAGATTTAGGGACTACACTTCAGATATCTAATGTCATGTGAGACAAGTCCCTCTCCTCACTGAAGATTTGTTATCAAACTCCTTTTACCATGTAGACCTTCCTCACAATATTACCAACTAGCATTTAGTATTACTATTATGCAGATTGCTCTCCCAGGCACTAATATATCAAGACTGATTTCTAACACTCATTAAACAACCAGAAATGAAATTATTGTAAGAACTCTTGAGATGAATTACTTACGCTCTTCATGACATTCATTCAAGGTTCATAATCTTTGTTGCCTCTTGCAATAATTCAAGAGACAAAACACTGCTGGGAAGAATATGTATCCCTCCACCCCCTCCGGATGACAAAAATCTGTAGTGTTCAAAAGAAAACTTGGAGAATGGGAGAGGGGAAAAAATGCACAAAGAGCAATCACTACAGATACTGAGGTTTATGGTTTATTGCTGATTCCCCATTCTGCAAAGCTGTCAAACTGCCCCAGTTCCAGGATGGGATTATCTCCAGAAGCCCCATGTCAGTCACTGTGCCAACTCAGACGACACAACTAGAGACCTGTGTGTGGTAGTTTGCTGCTTACAGAACAGCTGGAGACAAAATCCATCCTTTCTGATCCTGAATTCATGGCAGGATCTGGAGTCTGACAGTACAACCTGCTGTCAGTTTCCAACAAAAGAACTGGAGGCATCCAGTGGGGATGCTGCTTTTCCTGAATTCAGTTCCCCCTGCAAGAAGCTGCTATTGAGAGGTTCTCACACAGAGCCACCAGCATGAGACAGTGCAGTTTTTCCTTTACCGCATCAATCAGAAATAGCGTGTCTTGTGCTTTGAGACAAAGGCTCCTAACCATCCTGTCAACTATGCTGCTGTCTTACCAGCACTAATAATAGCATTGCTTTTCTTTCTTAATAATAAAAAAAAAAGGCTTTTTCCTCATGTTTGGTTCAACTTCTTCATTCTTGCTGCCACATTTTATTCATGACAGGATCTCCAGGCTGCAAGTCAGCTCTTTTCCAGCTGGTTAGATCTGGTTCCTCTTTATGTGCCTGTCCTTTCAGTGTAAACAAGCAAAGCTTCTCCAACTGCACTGGTCACAAGGCTGTAAACAAAATATACCACAAATTTAGCATCATGCAAGTCCTTCTACTGGATACAATGCCAGAGAAAGGTATTATTTTGTCTAAACACATTTCAACCTATAGACAGTAACCCAGGTGATTGTTTTCATTAATTTAGCTAAGAAAAGGCTGAAACCAGGAATATCTTATTTAACTAATCTCATCAGAAACTACCCTTCCCATATGTTAGGACTGGTGGATTTTCACATGAAATCCACAGACAGAAATCTAGATAGAGAAGGCTGCACCTAGTTACAATAGCTGCACACCCATACACTAGCAAGAATCAGAAAGGAAGGCAAAAGAGTTTGAACTTAATCATTTCCCCTTGCAATTCTGTCCTGAGAACTTGACACTGATAAAGTCAGGAGGAGCTGTAAAACCAGGAAAGCCTGGTCTTTGGGAGATGAGGATATTGGGAGAAAGAATTTTGGTCTGGGGGGATTCCACTAGTGTGGTGAAGCCGGTATAAATTCCTATGTTTGCTTTTCTTTGTGAGGAATGTGGTGAAAGAACCTGCCCCTGCTGAAACGGCATATGTGCCCGATCGCTTCCTTCCTGTGCTGCTCACAGCGCAGTGGTGGCACTAACACTTCTCTCCAAGACTCAGGCTAGAAGCAGGGCTCCAAATCAGGATGAAGGTTTTTACAAACAAAACCATTCATTGAAATAAACTATCAACCCACTCAATCTGTGTAATAGTTAATAATCCCCAAATCTCCTCTGATATCTATCACAGCTGACAGGAACATGGTAGGATACTGACTCTTCTCCCCTTTTGTAACAGTGAAAAGCTAAGTGTACTGACCTTTCATCTTAGCTCCATGGTTTAGTTAGCTTATGAAACAGAAAAGCTCCTTAATGAACTTTATAAACAAAACGAACTTCTGTTAGTTCAATTGTAAGAGGGCCTCTTTTTTTTTTCCTTGGGAAAAAAGAAGGCATGTAAAGCTGAAGGCTCTCTGTTCTGTAATAGCATTACATTCACTTAAATCTTAGCTTTGGTAAGCTGTTTTAAAAATCACATTAGCGCCCTTGTTCCCAAGAGGAACAAACATTGTATAACAACAGTACAACAGCCCTGGAAAGTAGGTGCTGCAGACAGTCTGTAGACAGTCCACCGTGGAGACAGAATACCTCTGGGTGTGGAATTACCAACAAGGAGCAAAGGGCTGCAAGGCCTGCAAGCTTTTTGAAAAGATCTAAGCCACATGAATCTGTTTGCCTGTAATCACTAACACCCTCAGAGCACTTTTCTCTGGAGAGGGTTAACCCTCTCCAGCTCCAATTATAAACATGCTCTCTGCATTAATTCTTTTGGAAGCTAAGGTTGGATAATGTATTGTTTATCCTAAAGAAAATAACCCACTGCATATAGAAGACCTAAACTCAACAGAGCCTCAGAAATGTCTCAATTTTTGTGTGTGTGTGTTATAGATGTGTTGTTTTCTACAACATTTTTAACAGACTTAAAAAAACCACCCTATCCCTGATGTACCATTCTAAAGATCAGACTGGCAGTTCTATCCCAAAAATAGAAAACTACAGAGCTCTGTTTTGTAAATGGCACCTGCATCTACATTGCTCTTTAATATCTTCAGTCTTCCAGCAGAGAGGAAGAATCCGTTTCTGAAAGACTCGAAATCTCAGGTATCCACATGCCCATGCAAACCACATGACTGGGTGGCCAATAGAACCCACCATTATAACATCAAGATGAAGCAGAGCAAAAAACGTGGCTGAATGCCAACCCTTGATTTACCTTCAATTTACCATCTGGCAAATCCTTCAGCTTCTGTTTATTGCGGGATGACAGCTAACTGCATTTGTCCATCACTCAGAAACTAACATATGATATTGTCCATGACAACACTGGAGCAATACTAAAAAACTCAGTGATTAATGATCTTGGGAGTGCTTTGCAGCTGCTGTCATCTAAGAAACTATTTCCAGAGCTTTGCTGATAAGCCAAGGCACTGCTGATGCACAAGCCAAAACAGAACTCACATAAATAAATAAATAAATGAAGTGGTTATCTTTTTGAATTATGACAATCAAAGTGCAACAGGGGCCCAAGGGCTAAAGCAAAGTTTCTTTTAAAGATACAGATATGCTCATCATTTATATTACAGTGCATATAGAGCATGAAGTATGTGTGCAACTATATGCGTCCATATGCTCACATTAACAGATACATGTGTTTCTTTAGTATATGTGTCAGTGAATACATATATACATATTACAAAAGCCTACCTCTAGCACGCACATGATAGACCTGCACAATCACATGCAAAACACGGTGAAAGCAGCAAGTTAATGGCCTAGACTAGGAATGTTATCAGTGTACTGATACTAGTTTAATCTCTTATACAGGCCACATAAATGTATTCCTAGAGCTAAAAAAAATACACTACATCTTCTAGTACTTGAGATTACATGTGTCTAACATACATATGAGGATGCATATTCACACGTATGTATAAGGGGCTAGTTTAAACTGAGATTCACCTTCAACTTCTTTATCACATCTAGAAAAAGAATATGCTAATTCCATTCAGTGCAGAGCTGAATCTTTTAGGATGGCAATCAAACTGGAAGGGGGAAAAAGGAAGCTTAAAGCTTTTTAAAAATAAGCAGATTTTTATTTCCAATAACAAATCCATCCTCACAGATATATGCATAACCCTGTATTTTGTTGTTATTTGCATGGCAGAAGCATTTAGGAGCATCATCTATGGACTGGGATTCCCTTTCACTGGGTGTTCTACACAGACCAAATCCATTGTCTTTGACAAAAGAAGTTTGCACCCTAATCTTACCACCTAAAAAATTCAGGTTAGGTGATTCATAACATGTGGCCACACATTACCAAGTCCAGATACACCTTTGGAAAAAGTTGATTATCATTAATTTTATACTAATTTCATTTTACGCATTCACAATACATGCTGTGTTAAGGAAACTTGAATGTACGCTATTAGTTTAAAAGATGCTGTCACCAAATCATGACTCCTGTGTTTTATTTCCAACTCCACCACTAATGTATAGCATGACTCTGAATGGGTCATTTATTTGCCTATTGAATTCATTTCTCTAGCTGTAAAACATGCTGAGTGAATTGTGGTGAGGCCTAATGTCCAAATTGTCCATGTTCTCCCACAGAGGGACAAGAAACTCCCTTTATATTACCACCATTGCACACCTGGTTCTCCTTACATGCAAAATATGACTGGCACTAACAGAACTTGACATTTAGAAAGCATTTCCACATGAAAAGGATTTCCACACACTGTGTGGAAATACATTTTTACTCTTAAGAAAAAAGCTCATGCAGGCACTTACCAAGAAATTGTTAGCACATTGGCAGTCATGACAAAGAAGAACGGTGATAAGCTGGCAGTGATAACCTGTTAAATTGAAAGGAAAAACAAAAAACACTTTGTGAACTTGTGATATCACAAGTGAAAACTGAAATAGTTTTGCTGAAATTGTATTTCTGGATGTGCAGTCACATTTTCTTTTCTTTTTTCCTTTGTTTTCTTAAGCATTAGAAACATTATACATAGATAGGCAATAGACAGGAGAAACCCAATGAGTCTATACTAAACAGTCCTGCCCAACCTTCCTCCCTGTGTAACTAGAGACTACACCTAGGTACCTCCTTTCTCCTCTGGCAAGTGGGAGGCAGGCCAGAAACAGCAGAAAAAGACCCAACAGACAATACAGCTTCAGTAGGTTTATATCACAAATCTCTCATTACACCAACGTGTCTTCGGCAGAGAAGCTACCGGCAAATTACTTTCTATTCCCTAGTACTGATCCCAGAAACTACTAGATCCCAACACACAACGGCTTGCAACAGATCCCTGCCTTAGCAGCTACGGAGCTACCACATCTGCAGCCTGCGTGCAGTTTTGGACATCCTGTTGCCAGATGGACAATGTAAAATGGAAAGAGTTCAGAGAACAGTGACAGAGTCATTAGAGGAGGGATTGATTTTCAGTCAACAGTTAGAATAAGCAATGCCTGTGGGAAAGGAAGACTCTGTAGTGATTTACAAATACTGAGGAATGAATGGAACTATTTAGGATAATACAAAATTGCCCGAGGAAGAAGATGAAATTAAGAAACAAAACATTTAAACAATTATCAGCTAATATTTCCTAATCGTTGTTCGTCTAGTTGACTCCCAGGGGAGAAGCAGAAACCTCATTCCGTATTCTATTACTTGTTAAAACACTACTACATGTGCAGTAGGGAAGCAAATGCCATTTCATTTCAGAGTGGGCTGTCTGCACCAGAGCTTGCACTAACAGTTTGTTAGTCAATACCCACTAAATTTGTTATGGCTGTGTTTTAAAAGGCAGGGTTCTGAACCTGCCTGGAGTGTTATCAGTGCAGGATCATGAGCAGCAGTGGATGAAGAAGAGATGGTTGTATGCCATTTCCTCAGCTCCACTCTAAAAGTTAGCTGGAGAGGGGACAATAGCCATGAGACCAGGTGATGGCAGTAAACACCACACAGGAGTCGTGGTGCTCAACAGGGACTATACGGTGAGTGCTTCCTTTGGCTTGTTTGGGGATGTTTTCTACTTTTGGGAGATTCAGGCATGCAGATTTCTTTTCTCTTCATAGACATTACCATAAATCACACCCTGACTGTTCTCCATTTGCCTCCAGCACAGGCACCTTGCAGAGGGAATGATGCAAGACATGGACTTGATCCAGGAAAGATACCACGAGATTGCAGATCCACTCCATTTCTGCACAGCAATCAAATTGCTGGTATCAACAGAACCACAGACATATAATCAGATACAAACTTCACCTGACTTAAGTATTTGCACACTGCCTACTACAGCAGTGTACTATGTGGACAATGCTGTAAAGCTTGAATCTAACAGAAAAAGTGAGCTCCCACTCCAGGGGAAAATCAAAGATACATATTGGCTCTACTACTACAGCCTTGTACGCATATGTACAAACAGGAATATGACTAAATAGATGCACCCAAAAGAGACTGTGAGAGGAGAAAGGCAAGTCAAAAACTGAGAGTCGTTCTTCAAAACTCAAGCAAATGATACTGCAACTGTCCACATTCAGGCCACACCTTGGCTTGTCTCATAGTCAATTGCAGCCCGAGAGAGCTGACAACCACTCCAAACAGTAGAATTTAATGATTCAGGAGCTGACTCTTTCATGTACTGTACCTAAATACAGCTCCTAGGCTGGATATCAATTAGGTCAAATATAGTGCTCTAAAGTACATACACATCTTGTTCTTGCAGGCTGGATTCTCCCCTTACACACCCTGCAGCAGCTGCACTGACCTACAAGGAACTATTTCGTATTTACATCAGTGTTAATGATTGTAGAAGTAACTGCACTGAGCTTATCTTAGGCTAATGTGAATTCATTACATAAAAATATACAATAGTCATTAGCGAGCATATAAACAGGAACTAATAAAGGATGGCACATATGCTGTCTACGGAGCATTCTTTTCCTTAAGCTGTTCTCCTGAAAGAAACTGAAGTGCAGCGTTTCAGAAGTGACACAAGTTGAAGTTATGTCACCCACTCCCTTGCAGAGTCTTGTTTATTAGAAACTTGAGAAGAGGCCAAGGGCAGAGAAACAGGCATTAAGAACCCTCCAAACCCAGGCCTTATCAAAAACAATACACCATTCTACTGCGATCATCCCAAACCTCTGCAAAAATGCAGGCTGCAGCCTTTTGGGCTATTACAGCAGAACACTGCTGTATTTTTGAAAATTATGTAAGAGGCTCTCAGTGCCAAAGAGAAACAAAATGTGGGTTGGAGGAGCGCATGGAGTAAGTGTGTGGAAGGAAAAAAACCCACCACAACACGAAACGAAAGAACATCGCTAAAATGCCCACCTTTAATTGTTTATCTAAAAGAGGAATACATTTTAAGATGGACAGTACATTTTCTAGGAAGCTAACCACGTAATTTGCTCCAGAGGAAGAATCTAAAGTCTAGGGGCATAGTTCAGAAGGTGATTTTCCTTACTTTCCTGACAATACATTTCAGCATTTTCTGAAGTGTTTTTTAAGTGCACGTTTCACTTTAAAACAAACCACCTACACTAATGTTCTGAATGTTCGTTAAAAAAAAAACAACAACAAAACAAAAATACAACATGCTAAATGCCATAATCTTTCTTTACTTCAAAGGTCACAGTTGCCCTCCTAGGCATTTAGATGCCTTAGGAAAAGGAATGAACTTTCAAGACAAAAGCAAGCTAGTAAAAGGACAAACTGAAGTTAATGATTTCCAAATATATTTTGGTGCTGAATCTGTAAAACTAGGACATGGAAAGGAAAATTTTAACTAGCTATAACCAGCATATTTTGTACAAAGGTCCCCGAGATTTTGAAATAACAGTCATTAATTCCAGCAAAAGATACAGACTGGGTGGTTGGAGCACAACGCTTTTAGAAACAGGAACAGCTCCATAGACTCTGCCTATCTACTTGCTTAAAGGAACTGTGACCAGGCAGTACTGCAAAAGCTATTTTTAAAGACATTCCTACTGTGAGCATTTCTACAAAACTGACGCAGCTTGCAGTGACCAGGAAAAAAATCCAAGTGTAGCACCATCTAACAAAACTTCTTCGTGCGAGCTGAAATGATTCCTGAGATACCATTTCAAACCTTCCTTGCATGGAAAAAACAAAGGGTAGAAAGATTGTTTCTTAACATAAACCACTCTGAATGTAATATGTCAGTCCACTGGACAGTGCAAACAAGACCCATTTAAAGGAACACTTGATTAACACCTATTTTCCTCAACTATTCCTATAGTTCAGATAACTGAGTTATTTACAAATAATTTTATAAACAAAAATCGTGGCATTTCAGACTGTGCTTGTTATCTCAGTCAAATAGTTCTAGCTCTTTACAATGTGCATCAGCATAAAAGGAAATAAGTGCATCCTTGTGATAGATATTTATCTGGCACAAAGTCTGTGCGTAAGAGGAGAGTGGACTCATCTCCTCCACCCCTAGAGGACACAACTTGTGGAAGTTCTTCAGTCTGGCACAACTTACTCAGATGAAACGGCTCTATGGTAATGCAGATAGCCTGCCTGAGCTTGGAGCTTCACCAGGAAGGAGAACAAAGATTAGTGCAGCATCACTTCAACCACAGGGAAAATGCTTCAGGACTGCCAGAACAAAGATTGGGCCTGAACAGTTAGATAATGAAATAGAACAGATGGGACCTCTTTACATAAATAGTCTAGTTCAGGGAGTGAACAAGAGCCAGGAGAGAAAACAGAGGGCAAACCAGCCCTGTGGCTGGATTGTGTCACAGAGAAGAGTCTTAAAACAGCAGCCCTTTTACAAGTTTGTATCAGAAGTGGGGTTCTAACCACCTAGAAAGGGTGGGACAGCAGAGAAATAGACTCATTCATCACCTTACAACCTGGTGCCTAAAGAGGGAAACAAAGATGGTGAGATTCCTGCTCCAGTTTCTAAATAGGAGTGAGATACCAACATATTTGAAGGAGATTCAGTGACAGGAAAGACATGCTGAAACACTGAAACAGAAACAGATGAGGCTGAACTCATTGTGCCTCATGATCACGGACATGTGAAAGCTCTAGGGTTTGTGCATCATTCATGACCACCAAAGATAACTAACAGGGGTGAAAACTTCTGGCATTTCCATCATCTGGGAACCAAAGATGGGCCTGGATGCCATACAACATCCTGAACACTACTTACATTGTCATTTACATTTAACATATTGCTCCAAAGGACAACACAGTGCCCTCCTTCAGTATCTAAAGAGAAGAGGGAGTCAATTCCACACGTCCAGAGTTTGTTTCCCTACAGGCTGAATTGTCAGCAACAATTAAAAAAAAAAAAAAGCCATTGTTGAAGGGCTGGGTAACAGACTCGGATTTATAAAGCAGAAATATCCTAATGTGGGGAAGAACTTGTTGGACAGTAGGGACAAATCCAGCATAAAATCACCCTTGTACAGGCAAATAGGAGGCATAGGAAAGAATGTGTTCTCATGCATCTGCATTTGTAAATCTGCTTTAGTGATTTGTGAGTGGAGGAAGGCACTATTACCACTAGCTCTAAAGAGCTCTCAAAGAACTGTGACAGGCAGACCACTACACAGCAGCTCCTGACATGAATGATCTCCTTTCTCCTAATCACATTATGGTCAGACAAGAAAAAAACATGCAGAAGGGAAAGAAAAATTGGTTTCATAAAAGTTGTAGGGTTTTTTTTTAATAGAACAAAAAAAAATAGAATTAGAAATTAATTTAGTTTTATAGATAAACAAATAAAAAATAAAGACTGTTTGGAGAATTCTTTGCTGAATGACTCTAAGAACAGGCAAGATCACTGCTGAGCCAGCTTCCCAG